AAAATCTTAAAAAAAGAAAAGAAAAGTGGAAGGTAAAATGCTGCGAGTAGCAAGAAGAGCTGAGGAGAGTTGATCCTGGAGTACACTTTCCCCCAAACCTCTTCCACATGGCCAAATGTTTTTCATTTCAATAAAGTTATTTGGATTAAAAATAATCTTTCCAAATAACTGCAAATACTTCTGGCCAGATTTAAAGGTCACTGGCATTTTAGGATGGGTGAAATTAATCTCCGTTTTTGTCCTATTACTTGGTGACAAAACTGCAGTGAGGAAATCGAAATTTTGCTTGGGGGAGGTGAAAGGTAATGTTAAAGTAATGGCAACACTTCAGTTTATCAACAGGCCTGGGGGCATGGAGCTGGGTGCTGACAATGAAAAGCTGGGGGCCACTCCAGGGCCATAGGTACAGTATGCGAAAGACTACACAGCCTATTTCAAACTTTTCCAGAGAGAAGACTGTATGGAAGTTCTCAGATTTCTTACATTGCGTGAGATCCTATTTATAACAGCATCTTCACTTAAACCTTGTCCTGGAATCTTGCCTTTCATCCCTCCCTTCTAATCCTTCTTCATAACTAATGGTCACATCTATGAAGAGGAAGCTATTATGCAAGTAGAGTTGGTTGGCTCTGGTCAAATTTGTGAAAGATACAGTTCTACCTCTCTTGTCTCTATTTGAATTTGAGCAGGGACTTCGATGCCTTAACATAGCAAGCATTCCCCAATAGGAAGGTTTTCTGGTGTTTTGTTTTGTGTCTAGAAGGTTTTGAAACCTCACCTGGGATGTTGCTATCTTGAACATCCTTCTTGGAGGTTAGTCAAGACACCGACAGCAGAGGGAGGCTGAGCAGCTAAGTGGATGGTTCAGGGATTTTACTCTTAGGTTTCCATTTCCAATCCTATCTCATCAACCTGAATAGTCTCAAGACTGGGAGAGAGAAATGAAAATGAGGTTTTCCTTACAATAAGTTTAAAACCCTTTCCATAACCAGGACGCCTGGGTGGCTCAGTCAGTTAAGCGTCTGCCTTTGGCTCAGGTCATGATCCCGGGGGCCTGGGATCGAGCCCCGCATCGGGCTCCCTGCTCAGTGGGACCCTGCTTCTCCCTCTCCCTGCTGCTCCCCCTGCTTGTGCTGTCTCTCTCTCTCTCTGACAAATAAATAAAATCTTTTAAAAAATAAAATAAAATAAAACCCTCTCTGTAACCCACAGAAGTGCTTGGTATGGGAATATGGTTTGGGTGGGATCCTCAAACACTGTACAGGGGCCACCAAATGCAAGAAAACCTGTTGTCTCCATTAAGCTCATTTGGGGTAGATGATCTCAAGAATGTATTAGAGACTACAAAATTCCTCTTGAGGACAACTATATTCCTTTCTTTGTTTTTCACCCTCACTAAATGATACAGCAGGTGCGGTGGAACTGAAGGAAACCAGAGTTTTCTTCCCTCCTACTCCTAGTGAATGTGTAATGCTGCCTCCAAGCCTGCCCCATCATTGATGAACAGTCAAAAAAAACTAAACCAGGGTAGTTTGGAACTGCTGGAAGAAGAGTTGGATGGTTTAACAAAAGAGACACTGACAAAACACATTCCTCTACAATACTATAATTATAAATTTGAAGGCACATCCTTGGCAGAAATATGATCAATTACATGCTTATGGAAAAACAAACTACTGAATATCTTAACTGTAGTAGATGATTATTGCACAACATTGTCCACTGCTGTTTTGGGTACCAAACAATCAATGTTTAACAATGTTTAGTTAAACATTTACCTAAAAACATAAGGTTGAGACGCCTGGTTTTGGCTACAAAAGGTATCTATTATCAATGCCATGATAGAAGCTCTTTTAATTGAAGAACAAGATTTCATGCTTTTGTGCTTTACCTGGTTATTCACACCAGATAAACTTTCAGAGGGACTACAGAAACTTAGTGTAAAAATAGCTAATAAATCGGCATGAATCCAAATTTTTTATATTTGGTAAAATAATATTTTTAAATGTAGAAAAGTAAGAAATAAACAAGCAAAAAATCCAAAGGGAGTGATTCCAGGAATGTTTTTATTCTTATTAAAATAACCAATAACCAGATGCCTCACCCAAAGAAAATAACAAAATAGAGTAAAATAAATATTAAGAAAAATAATTTTAAAGCAAGATACACAAGAAATGGGGAAAAATTCTCAAAGAACATACATTCTTGATTTTAAGCTGTGTACATAAAAGATATGCACACTTAAATTTTTGGAAACATCTTGTCTACAGTGCTATTTTAAGCATTCTGAAGAAAGAAGACATCTGAAAAAAGAAAAAAATAAACTTTTAAAAAGTTAAAGCACAATATAAAATTTTTTGTTCACAAGGCATCAAATTTAACACTCTAAAATGCTGATACTAAACTAGGAAAAAGAACACCTCTATTTTCACAACTGACCACCATACTTCTTTAGACTAGGACACTAAATATTCTAGTTGTGTTTTAACCTTTGAAATTCAAAAGGCATCTTTGGATATTCAAGATAAAAGGTGCCCCATTGTTGAGTCAGAGCCAGCACTGGGTATCAAAACATCCTTGTTATCTTCAGACTGAGGGCATGGTTACTGAGTGAATACAGAAGAGTGATAAAGGAACAACAAATAAAGAACTTCAGATATTCAAATGTCAAATTCAAATATAAATCCATTTTCCTTCTACATGGTAAATATGTGTGTGTACATATGTATGAATAGACATATACATACACACATATACATTTATAACATTTGTTCTCACTAGCCACTAGTTACTTAGAGCTAGTTACTAATTGAAAGCAATGTTTTTGATCCTGGTATCATCTCTCTCTCTCCTGTGAATACAGTTGTTCTATGAAGCTAATGGGAGGTCAGGATTACAAGAGACTTGTGCTAGAGAATTCAAAGATGGTTTCAGATATTTAAACCAGCATTCTTTCTAAACATGTTTTCTGTTCTGATAGCAAGGGTTGAAATTAAATCCTTGATTTTTCCCAGACTGTTGGCTGCTCTTCTCACTGTCCTAGGACACGTGGGTCCCTTGTCAAGTGGGGGCCAAAAGGACAACTCAAAAACACACATAGAAATAAAAGTAGTAACTGGCTATGTTCAAGTGTTTCAAAGACAGAGAAAGAGTAAGGGAGAAAGAGAGAGAGGTGTTTCTTTTGTCAAAAGTCTATTATACATTTGTCCTATTGGCTGTTTCTTCTAGAAGAAACAAGTTGTGGTATGATGAACCACTAGAATTAAAAGAAAAAAACAAATATTAAAATTCAAAGCAGAAGCATGGAAGGTGGCACAGGCATTTAAAGAGCCTAGACATACAATCACATTCATATTTCATTAAGATGGGTTTGCCTTTCTAGATTAATAGCACCTTCATCAATAGTTTCAATTCTCTCAAGATAGTTGAGATAAAAATGAGATTTTTTTTTTCCAAATCTGAAAAGACAACATGGAATAATGTGGTAAACTTTTTTTGTGTGTGTATGAAAGCATAAGAGAGAAAGGAAGTAGGAGAGGAAGAAACCCATCCCTCACTCCTACCTGATTGTAGACTCTGCCCTAAAAAATTGATTATTAATATTCATTACAGACCTCAAGGGGAGAAAAGAACTAACATTTACTGAGTGCAAATCCTATGTGCTAGGCATTGTGCTAACAGATTTACATATGGTGATGGGAACCAAATATTAGGAATTTATTTATTTATTTTCACTTCCATATTCTGCATATGAAATCCATCTTGCAATTCAGGAGGAATTTAAATAGTGATACAAGTACCAGATCTCTGACCAGTATATTAACTCCTAGGCACTCAGAGGGGGATTTCTAAATGTATATGGCACTGAGAACAGCCCCTGAATTTGCGAACCACACTAACTTTGCAAGGGCAAATGTTTTAAACTAGAGAAAAGTATAGATTTGGCTAAAAGGTATCACAACCTAGGGAAATTCTCATTTCTGTATTACAAATTATTGTATTTTTTGGTAAATGCAGCTTTGTGTAATAGCATTATTTTAAAGTCATCTTGAGAAATCATCTAAAATACTAAAATATAATGAAAATCTATTAAATTATAGCTACCAGGTAAAGTCTTTTATTCTCTCCCATAAAGGACAAATTTAGCGAATCCAGGTAACTTCATATGACCCGTATATGTTAAAGATGGTAGTGTTAATCTGAAAAGTCAACTGTGGAAGAGGCTCAAAATCTTAAGTTTCTGGACTGAGGCTGAGAGACTAAGAACAATTTATAGTGGAACTAAGCAGGAGTAAATTGAAAGTTTGCACAGAGCTAGGGAGTCAATGAAAGAAGAATCCAATTTCTTTTTTTTTTTTTTACAACAATGGAGAGATAGGAAACAAGGAACCCTCTGGACCCTTAAGGTCTTTTGGGCTACAAGGTAAAGAAAGGAAGAAGATATTGGAAAAGTCAGTTATTTTTATCAATCAAAAATCACCTACACTGAGCTCACTCGAAAGAACAATAACAACAACAAAGAACCATACTAGGGCATCTAAGAAAGCAACTGCAAAGACAAAGATGCAGGGAGAGTAAGGGGGGCGGGGAGAAAGTCTGTAATAAATAAGGCACATCTATTTTTAAACAGTTTCTACTGTTTTCCTTCTAAAACCAGATGCTTTATACAGTGTTTTAAAGCCCTTGTTCCCCAACCTGGCAGGGCTGAGGGCTCAAGAATGTCCTCAAGATCATGCTCTAGGATCTTCAAACTTTTAAGTATCCTTTCTCTTGAGCCTTTTCTTTTTGGTCAAATAAAAAATTATCTACCACTTTAGCAGCAAATCAGCAATCTTCAATTGTAGGGCTTGTTGTAAACCTCACTGGCCTACCTTATCTGTTACTATAGAAAACAAAAAGTATTGGAAATTCATTTTAAATAAAGCTAGGTTGAGAGCTAATGCTCTGAAGAAAGGTATTTTTGCCTTTAGACAAATGCAATTCAAAGAGATTCCCTACCATAAGGGCATGAGACCAATATAAAATCCTTCCACAATATTTTGAAAAGTTAAGGAGACATCATTAACGCTGTATCAGTGCATAACAACATCAACTAGTAGCATTCTGTGTGGCCTGTTACAATGTGGTGTCATCATCTTCCCTGCAGTCTCCCACCAGAAGGGAATGCTTGTCAGGTTCACTGGTACCAATGCTGTTTAGGGACCGTTTGTCAGACAGGAGTGAATTTATGGAGGCTCTGCTGTAATTAACAATCCGGTCCAGCAAACCCAGCTTAGGAGAATTTCTCGAGGTGTCATCTATTCCAACATGAACGCTGATCTCTGAAGGCCTTTTCTGTCCCATCTGGCTTCGGGCATGCAGTTCATAATTCTCATAAGTTGGTTTTCTATAACTGAACACATGCAAAAATACACTAGTTTGAAATAAGCAAATGTGAACTAGACACTTGTTACAGCCAAAACTGGAAATATATTTGCCAGGCATGCAATCTACTAAGGTGGTTCCTGCTAGGAAAGTCACTAAAAAAGAAATTGTATGGAGTCACATGATCAGAAATTCTACTTCTCAGAGCCAAAGTACTACATTTTACAGTGCTGTGCTTGCTAGGTAGAGACTACATAAGATGATTATTACATAGCTAACATTTCTTATTAAGAAGAGTTTGGGCCCATCACACAAGAATAAGACCTACCAAGACTGACTGTGGATGATAAAAGGAATATAAGATACAAATGTGAGCAAACCATCATACTCACAGTTTAAGGAAGAGAGAAGAAAGTACTACTGAGACAGATGAAGCAGCCATTGCAGCAGATCCCATCCAGGGCTGCAAAACCAAACCAATGGGCATAAAAACTCCTAGGAAACAAATTTGGATTAGTTAGAGCAGACAGTATGAAACAGATTATTAATGTGTTTCTAATACATACATACACATCATTTCCTTGTCTGATATTTACTCAGCACGTTATATGTGAAAAATTGGCAGCGACATAAATCTCCACCAACAGGAGGATAGAGTGTTGCTGTGAACATTCTTGTACATGTCTCCCTGTGCACGTGTTTGAGAATTTCTCTAGGGAACATACCTAGAGGTGAAACTGCATTATAACATGGGCACATCTTCAACTTTAGGTGGATATTCCTCAGTTGTTCTCCAGAGTGCCTTGGACCACATCATAATCCCACCAATAGTGTATGAATAGTGTATGAATTTGACAGACATTTGAACATTTGGCTTATATGACAGGGATAAGGTAGACTTACTGTACTTCTAACTTTTTATGTGCTTATCTGTATTCTTCTCTTTTCTACAGTGATCATATATTACTTGCATATTTTTTCCACCCTGCCCCTACTTATATAATTTTTAAAAAATCATTTGCTGCTATGAATTAATCTTTCTGGATTTTGATTGTTCTTTTATTTTTTTGTTCCCTCAGCATTTTGTGTCCTTATTTATAAATAGGTTTGTAATTGTTCTTACATCATTTCATGTCCTCTTTGGCTCTAAAACCAGAGAGAACAAGAAGAAAGTGATAACTATTTTCTTCTGCTATTACTAACTCCTGGGGCACCTGGGTGGCTCAGTCGGTTAAGCATCCAAATCTTAGTTTCGACTCAGGTCATGATCTCAGGGTCGTAGGATCAAGTCCCGCATTGGGCTCTGTGCTGGGCATGGAGCCTGCTTAAGATTCTCTCTCTCTCCCTCTCCCTCTGCCCCTCCCCCTGCACTTTCTTTCTCTCTCTAAAAAAAAAAAAAAAAAAATACAATTTATTACTAACTCCTACCAAGTCCCTAAGTACAGGACATTATCAAATGCTTATTTTAAAATTCTAGGGGCGCCTGGGTGGCTCAGGCGTTAAGCGTCTGCCTTCAGCTCAGGTCATGATCCGAGGGTCCTGGGATCGAGCCCCGCATCAGGCTCCCTGCTCGGCAGGAAGCCTGCTTCTCCCTCTCCCACTCCCCCTGCTTGGTTCCCTCTCTCACTGTGTCTGTCAAATAAATAAATAAAATCTATGAAAAAAATTCTAAAATGCTTTTTCTGGGTCATATTCCTTGATTCAATTAATCAATCTCCGTCCCTCTCCTCCCCTTTTTTTCATCCCCCTTTCTCCCTCCCCCCCGCCCCCCTAGATGAGGTCTTTCTCTCCTGGTACCCAAACTTAAAAAAAAAAAAAAAAACCTGTTGGTTATTAGAATGTTAAGTGAAGAGCAAAAAATTCTCTGTATGCTATAATTATAACCATGTAACAAGACAAAAAAACTGATACAAAATAAAAAAGACTGGAAGTAAATACACTAAAATGCTAACAGTACTTGTGTTTGGGTAGTGAGATTAAAAGTAAATTTGTTCTTGGGGCACCTGGGTGGCTCAGTCGGCTAAGCATCTGACTCTTGATTCCGGCTCAGGTCATGATCTCATTGAGATTGGGCCCCACATCGGGCTTCATGCTCAGCGGGAAAGTCTGCTATAGATTTTCTCTCCCTCTGCCCCTCCCCCTGCTCATGCTCACTCTTTCTCTCTCTCTAAAATAAATAAATAAATCTTTAAAAGTAAATTTGTTCTCTTCAGCAAAAGATAAATAAATAAATATAAACATAAATATAAATATAAATGTAAGAGCATATGGAGAAAGAGATGAAACAATGTGGGAAAGTATTATTAATTGGTTAAATTAAATGAAGACTATACAGGTTTTCATTGTATCTTTTTTCCTGGTTATATATAGCTTTGAAATTTTTCAAAATATAAAGTTGGAGGGGAAAATAAAATAAACCTATCAGAATGCTTACACATTTTATGCCATAATGAACATTGCTCAAAATTATAATTATTGATTTTTTTTTAAGATTTTATTTATGTATTTGAGAGAGACAGAATGAGAGATAGAGAGCACGAGAGGGAGGAGGGTCAGAGGGAGAAGCAGACTCCCCTTTGAGCAGGGAGCCCGATGCAGGACTCGATCCCAGGACTCCAGGATCATGACCTGAGCCGAAGGCAGTCGCTTAACCAACTGAGCCACCCAGGCGCCCTATAATTATTGATTTTAATATTACCTTTCACCACATCAGCAGGCTACCTATAAAAACTGAACTCAAAGCTAATAATGAGACTAAAAACTTCCAAAATGATAGGTCTCTAATGACTTCAGAGGAAAAAGTAATACTAATAGTCACATACCAGCAGCTATGGGAATTCCAACTAGATTATAAATTAGAGCAAAAACAAAATTTATCCGAATCCTCTTGACGGTCTTCCTTGATAAGTCAATACTTGCCACTACATCCAGAAGATCATTCTGAGAACAGAAATATTTGTGATATTAGTGAGAGACTCTAACTTAACGAGTACTTTTGTAATTAATACTCTGATTCTGAAGAAGATGTGTACCTTAGGGTGGGTAATATGAATTAACTATAAAGTTCAAATATTGCTAAAAATTTCAGTCAGCCTTGGAAGATGTTTTTCAGGAACTTTCCTCAGGGGTCTAGAAAACACTTTTGGGGTTATATGCTACTATGTAGATTACCTCACTTAAAATAATCTCAGCAAGTGTTTGTTGAAGAAAATTTTATTATAAGTACGTTCCCCAATCTTATTCTTTACTTTACAAGCTTGTCATTCTCATCTGCTTTGCTTGACTGAGAAAGTCTGGAAGTAATTAGTAGGACTTCTCATACTCCCATCTTGAATTCTCCTAGTCTCAAAGGCTGGGAGCACAGGAATTAGAAGGAAAGGGTTGTTCTACTCGATATACTTTACAACACTAACCCTGACCATGTGGAGCAATATCACGGACCTCAACATTCAGGCCACAGGACTTACCCTTATCAAAACCACATCAGCTGCTTCAATGGCTACGTCTGTACCCGTGCCAATGGCAATCCCTACATTAGCCATTGCCAGAGCTGGAGAGTCATTGATTCCATCGCCTACCATTGCAACCCGTTTCCCCTCCTCCTGAAGTTGCTTCACCTTAGCAACCTTATGAGAAGGGAGAACTTCAGCAAACACCTTTGTAATGCCAACCTACATGAGGAAAGATAAACTCAATTCATTTCAAGTATTACTAGTACCTTCACTATAACACAGCAATAATGAGCATCATTTTCCACCCACCAGAGGTCCCAAATCTCAAAAGTTGATAATATCCAGTAATAGTAAGGATACGGAAAGGGGCGCCTGGGTGGCTCAGTCGGTGAAACGTCTGCCTTCGGCTCAGGTCATGATCCCAGGGTCCTGGGATCAAGCCCTGCATTGGGCTCTCTGCTCAGTTGGGAGCCTGCTTCTCCCTCTCCTCCCCACTCATTCTTTCTCTCACTCTCTCTCTCAAATAAATAAATAAAATCTTTAAAAAAAAAAAAAAAGAAAGGATATGGAGAAATGAGCTCTCTTAGATATTCTCGGTGGGTGAGTAAACTGTTATCATCTTTTTGGAGGGCATTTGGCAGGATCTATCAAAGTGCACACATCATTTGTGCAGTTCCACTTCTAGCCATATTCTAGACATATTTATACAAGTATAAAAAGATATATGTTTGACTCCAGGGAAGGTGGCAAAGTGGGGGGATCCTGGGCTCACCTCATCCCATAGACGCAACTGGATGCACACACAGTATGAATGGCCCAGAGAATGGTCTAAGGACTGGCAAAACAGATTCTCCACAGTTAGGTATAGAAAAGAGGCCATGTTGATTGAGGAAGGTGTGGAGGGGGAGATATGTGCTGGAGCCAGGTGGACTCATGGGACAGTCTGTGGGAGGGAAGAGTGTGGTGGGCCCGGGAAGGGGAGAGGAACAGACCCTGACACTAAGTGCCCCAGGCACAGGGGCCTGCAGAGGGAAGGCAAGTCCCCACAGAGTTTGGCTTTGAGACCCAGAGGGGCCCGGCTTTGCAAGTTCTTACAATCAGTGGGGCTTCATACCTGGAACTTCACAAATCAGCTGGTTCAGCTCTGGGAGAGCCAGAGGGCAATAAGAAACTGAGTGTCCCCCCTGCAATGTAGACAGCACAACAAACAGCTTCTACAGCATAGTAGCAGCAGTTTGAAAAATGCCTGGGGTATACGGGAGGGAGATTTGTTTACTAATCTCACAGTGTGTGCAGTAGGGGCAGGGATCTTTGGGAGACTGCTCCAAGAACAAAAGAACTGGCAGGCAGCATTTCCCTCCCCTGCCCCCAGCCTAGATACCCCAATACCTGTGGTAACGAGCACAGTGCCAACTCTCTCCATGGAGATTGCCAACAGTGTGCCTTGCTGCCACACAATTCTGCAGATCCACCCCCTCTGACCCGGCCAGACTCAGCAGTTTTCCCTGGTGACTACAGGTCCCCTCCCACAGCAGGTCAGCGTAGACCCTGCTGGAACCCCACGCCCTGCCCACGTTTTCTCCCGTAGACCTGCCCCCTCCAATTTGCCCTCAGCCGGAGCCCATCTAAAGTGGTGCCACAAGCCTGGCAGTGTGCAAGCAGCCCCAACAGGGGTCAGAACCACTCCAAAGTAGCTCCGGCCCCAAGCAGAGGGGAAGATAATCATACACACAAGTCCAGCTGGAGACCCAGCAGTGTGCTGGAGGTAGATATCGGGTCTGATGGCAGGCTCTACCCACCAAAGAAAGTTTCTCAGGGGACAACACGGGGACAGCACCCTGTAGTTTGATGCTACCGCATCTCTGGCAAACACCTGATCTGACACAACTCATGCTCAAGGCAGCCCCCAGACTGGCCCACTAATGCCACAGGGACCAAATCTTGCCGCCAACAGGCAAAGAGAGACATGGACGGAAGGCAGAGGGAGAGGGAGAAGCAGACTCCCTGCTGAGCAGAGAGCCCAGTGCGGGACTCGATCTCAAGACCCTGAGATCATGACCTGAGCCAAAGGCAGGCGCTTAACCGACTGGACAGAAGGCAAACGTGGTTCAACCAAAATAGTCCATTGCACACAACACACATAGGAGACACCAGTGAAGTGCCAGGATCTAGTGAACTGGGGACACTGCCCTGCAGGTACTAAAGGACCTCTTTTTCATAAGGACACCAGTTTCAAGAGCAGGAGATGTAGCTGACTTTTCTAACACATAGAATCAGACGGAGAAAGTTAGACAGAATGAGGAAACAGAGGAATATGTTCCAAATGAAAGAACAGGACAAAATCACAGCAAGAGAGCTAAATGAAATGAAAATAAGTAATATGTCTGATAGATAACTTAAAGTAATGGTCATAAGGATACTCACTGGACTTAAGAAAACAGTGGAGACTTCAGTGCGACTGTCAACAAAGAGACAGAAAACATAAAAAAGAAGGAAATGGAGATGAAGAACTCAATATGTGAAATTAAAAATACCCTAGAGAGAATAAACAGGAGACTAGAGGACCCACAGCAAACATCATCCTCAATGGTGAAAAACAGATCTTTTCCCCTAAGGTCAGGAACAGAACAAGAATGTCCACTCTCACCAGTTTTATTCAACATAGTACTGGATGTCCTAGCCACAGCAATCAGACAACAAAAAGAAAGAAAAGGCATTTGGAGTGCCTGGGTGGCTCAGTCGGTGAAGTGCCTGCCTTCAGCTCAGGTCATGATCTCAGGGTCCTGAGACTGAGTCCCGAATCGGGCTCTCTGCTCAGCAGGGAGTCTGCTTCTCCCTCTTCCTCTGCCTCTGCCCCCGACTCATGCTCTCTCTCTCTATCAAATAAATAAATAATATTTTTTAAAAAAAAGAAATAAAAGGCATCCAAATTGGTGAGGAAGAAGTAAAACTTTCTCTATTTGAAGACGACATCATACTATATATAGAAAGGCCCAAGTAGTTTTCACCAGAAAACTACTAGAACTGATGAAGGAATTCAGTAAAGTCGCAGGATACAAAATCAATATACAGAAATCCATTGCATTTCTAAACACTAATTATGAAGTAGCAGAAAGAGAAATTAAGAAAACAATAGCATTTACAATTACACCAAAAATAGTGAAATACGTAGGAATAAGCTTAACCATAGAGGTGAAAGACCAGTACTCTGAAAACTATAAAATACTGATGAAAGCCATCGAAGATAACACAGACAAATGGGAAGATACTCCATGCTCATGGATTGAAAGAACAAATGTTAATATGTCCGTACAACCCAAAGCAATACAGAGATTTAATGCAATCTCTATCAACATACCAACAGCATTTTTCACAGAACTGGAACAAATAATCTTAACATTTGTATGGAAACACAAAACACTCTGAATAGCCAAAGCAATATTGAAAAAGAACAAAACTGGAGGTATCACAATCCCAGATTTCAAGATATACTATAAAGCTGTGGTAAACAAAACAGGATGGTACTGACACAAAAACAGACACATAGATCAATGGAACAGAATAGACAGTCCAGAAAAAAACCAGGATTATATAGTCAATTAATCTTTGAAAAAAGAGGAAAATATGCCATAGGAAAAAGTCTCCTCAACAAATGGTGTTAGAAAAACTGAACAGTTATGTACAAAAGAATGAAGCTGGACCACTTTCTTACACCATACACAAAAATAAATTCAAAATGGATTAAAGAACTAAATGTGAGACAGGAAACCATAAAACTCCTAGCAGAGAACACAGGCAGTAATTTTTCTAACTTTGGCCATAGCACCATCTCTCTAGATAGGTCTGCTGAGGCAAGGGAAACAAAGGCAAAAATAAACTATTGGGATAACATCAAAATAAAAAGCTTCTGCACAGAGAAGGAAACAATCAATAAAACTAAAAAGCAACCTACAGAATGGGAGAAGATATTTGCATATGACATATCTGATAAAGGGTTGGTATCCAAAATATATAAAGAACTTATCAAACTCAACACTCAAAAAACAAAAAATCCAGTCAAGAAATGGACAGAAGACATGAACAGACATTTCTCCAAAGAAGATATATAGATTGGCCAACAGACACGTGAAAAGATGCTCAACATTACTCATCAGGAGGGAAATGCAAATCAAAACCATAATGAAATATCACCTCACACCTGTCAGAATGGCTAAAATCAAAAACTCAAGAAACAGGTGCTAGCAAGGACGTGGGAAAAAGGGAACCCTCGGGCACTGCTGGGGGGAATGCAAACTGGTACAGCCACTCTGGAAAACAGTATGGAGGTTCCTCAAAAAGGTAAAAATAGAACTACTGTATGATCCAGTAATTCCACTACTGGGTATTCACACAAAGAATATGAAAACACTAATTCAAAAAGATATATGCACTGCTATGTTTATTGTAGCATTATTTACAATAGCCACAATATGGAAGCAGTCCAAGTGTCCACTGACAGATGAATGGATAAAGAATATGTAATTATACACACACACACACACACACACACACAATGGAATATTATTCAACCATAAAAAAGAATGAAATCTTGCGATTTGCAACAACATGGATGGATCTAGAGGGTATAATGCTAAGTGAAATAAGTCAGTCAGAGAAAGACAAATACCATATGATTTCACTCATATGTGGAATTTAAGAAGCAAAACAAATGAACAAGGGAAGACAGAGAGACAAGCCAAAAACCAGACTCTTTAACCATAGTTAGGTGGGAGGATGGATAAAATAGGTGAAGGGGATTAAGAGTACACTTACCATGATGAGCACTGAGTAATGTATAGAACTGTTGAATCACTATGTTGTACACCTGAGTCTAATCTAACACTGTATGTTAACTATACTGGAACTAAAATAAAAATTTAAAAAATAAATAAAAAATTAAAAATGAAAGCTCTGTGAAAACCACCCCCCAAAAAAGATGTATGTCCAAAGATTTGCATCACTGCCTGTTTCTAACAAAATCTTCAAAACCACCTAAATACTCATCATTAGAGGAATGTTTAAGTAAATTATGATACATCCATACCATAGAATTCCATGTAGTAATGTTGAAAGGCTAAAATAACTTTGTATGTTCAGCTATGGACAAAGTTCCAAGGCATATATGTTGTTATGTATAAAAAGCAAACAGCTGGGGCACCTGGGTGGCTCAGTTGGTTAAGCATCTGCCTTTGGCTCAGATCATGATCCCAGGGTCCTGGGATCGAGTCCCGCATTGGGTTCCCTGCTTAGCAGGGAGTCTGCTTCTCCCTCTGCCTCTGCCCTCCCCCCCTGCTCCTGCTCTCTCAAATAAATAAAATCTTTTAAAAACTAAAATAAAAAATAAAACGCAAACTCCTGAATGAACAATCATTAGAAAAATGATGTAATTTATGTTGAAAATACCAGAACTATACATTTGTATATGAACACACATGCCTACGAAAAATTGGGGATAGGACTGGACAGGGAGCTTGGGAAAAGGGTAAACTTTTTACTTTATATCCTTCTGCATATAATGTACTTATATATTACTTGTGTTATTTAAAAGAAGAGGGAGGAGGCATTCTGAAGTAGAAAAGACTAGTATGAGAAAAGTTTTGTAGATAAGGCAGATGTGGGGGTCAGGAGCAGAAAAATATGTCAAAGTGGTGCATTAGGCAATGGTTCCACCAGTGATGTTCAGGATGGACTAGAGAGGGAAGTCCCTGGAGCTTCTGCCGTAATTTAGGCAGTAGAGATTGGGCGCCTGAGGGCCTGGCTTAGGCTGGCAGCACTGGTAAAGAATAGGAGCAACATTTCAAAGGAAGTATCAACAGAAACTAGTGTAGGGTGTCACTGAAGCCTTTCATGAATTAAGTAAATGGTTTTTTTAGTTATAAGAGTAACACAAAGTCCAAACTCCTTCCAACATAGCATGCCAACTGTTCTTTAAAGAAGTGGGTATCGATACTCAGTGATAAGGAAAATAATAGGTAATATGAAACTTTAGCACTTGAAAGCAAGAAGCAAAATGTATATGAGGAATTACAAGTTACCACATACCCCCCACCCCAACCACTAAGTAAACCAATTACCTGAGAAGCAATAGATCGAGCTGTTTTACTGTTGTCTCCAGTCATTAGAACTACTTCTAAGCCCATGGATTTCAAAATGCGGACAGCCAATTCGGCTTCGGGCTTCACTGTGTCAGCGATGGCTATCAAGCCACACAGCTCATCTAATATAGGAGGTATCAGAAAATAAGAGAGTTCGGAATACGGTGAAAGCAGGAATAATACTCTAACTTAAAATTTGAGAAGGAAATTAATTTTGTTAAGCAAAGCTGTTCAGGGCTTAAGCTTAATTCAAAATGTCTCCAAGCCCACACAGGCTGTATTCCACAAAATCTGTGACAAACCTCCATATTGAGTTATGAAAATTTCAGAGTGAGGTAGGGGTTACTAATGAAAGTAGTAATTGGAAAGTTGAAAGAGAGATCTTACTGGATACTAAAAGACTCTTTTTTTTTTTCCTTTGAGAAGTATTGGTCAATAGTTCCAAACACTTTATCTCCTTTAAATGCAAATGAAACTGAAAACTAATACTTTTTTTTCTTTTTAAGGTGAAGGGGGTGGATTGCGGCCAAACTGGCATTTATTTTTTTAATGTTTATTTTTTAATTTTTTTAAATTTTATTTTATTATGTTATGTTAGTCCCCATACAGCATCGTTAGTTTTTGATGTAGTGATCCATGATTCATTGTTTGTGTCTAACACCCAGTGTTCCATACAATACATGCCCTCCTTAATACCCATCACCGGGCTAACCCATCCCCACACCCCCGTCCCCTCTGAAACCCTCAGATTGTTTCTCAGAGTCCATAGTCTCTCATGGTTCGTCTCCCCCTCTGATTTCCCCCCCTTCATTTTTCCCTTCCTTCTCCTAATGTCCTCCATGTTATTCCTTATGTTCCACAAATAAGTGAAACCATATGATAATTGACTTTCTCTGCTTGACTTATTTCACTTAGCATAATCTCCTCCAGTCCCATCCATGTTGATGTAAAAGTTGGGTATTCATCCTTTCTGATGGCTGAGTAGTATTCCATTGTATATATGGATCACATCTTTATCCATTTGTCTGCTGAAGGGCATCTTGGCTTTTCCACAGTTTGGCTATTGCAGACATTGTTGCTATGAACATTGGGGTGTATATGGCCCTTCTTTTCACTACATCTGTGTCTTTGGGGTAAATACCCAGGAGTGCAATTGCTGGGTCAGAGGGTAGCTCTATTTTTAATTTTTTGAGGCACCGCCACACTGTTTTCCAAAGTGGCTGTACTAACTTGAGTTCCCACCAACAGTTTAAGAGGCTTCCCCTTTCTCCACAACCTCTCCAACGTTTCTTGTCAATTTTTTGAAAGCTGGCATTTTATACTGGGGAAAGAAATCACTGCAAGTAGTTATTTTATTTTAAAAACAAAAGTAAGGGGTGCCTGGGTGGCTCAGTCGGTTAAGCATCTGCCTTCGGCTCAGGTCATGATCCCAGGGTCCTGGGATCGAACCCCGCATCAAGCTCCATGGGGAAGCCTGCTTCTCCCTCTCCCACTCCCCCTGCTTGTGTTCCTTCTCTCGCTGTGTCTCTCTCTGTGAAATAATTAAATAAAATCTTTTAATAATTAAAAAAATAAAAAAATAAAAAGTAAATGGTATGTTCTGCTTCTTCCTGAACCTAAAAATGTCATAGCTAAGATACTGCCTTCATGCTTAGCAAGGATTATAAATGTTGACTAATCTCACAGCTAGAAATTTACCCAAGAAATAATTTAACAAAAGAAAGCACCTAAAACCTCACAGATGTTTATCACAGTGTTATTTATAATAATGAAATATTAAGAATAGTTTAAATTTCCAACAAGGGAATTATTAACTTAGTTACAGTATATAATAAATTACACAGAATTAAAATTAGAAAATATTTATGAATATTGCAAATAAATGAATAAAGCAAAATATAATAGGTGTATAAGGGATTTTAAATTTTTATTCAACTTTATTGAGGTAAAATTTATATGCAGAATACACCCATTTAAAAACAGTATATATACTAGTATTATAATTCTGTACATATATTATATTGTATATAACATATATATACAAAAAAACCCAGAAATGGAATACATGCAATTAAAACTGACATTGAGTTAGGATGATGAGATTATAGATATTCTTTTATTTGCTATTACTTTAATGTTATGTTATTTTTAGGTTTAAAAAAATCTTTGATTAGCTTTTTTTTATTTTTTTGGGGAGAGGCAATCACTAAAAACAAAATTTTATTTATTTATTTTATTTTTACTTTTTACTTTTTTTTTAAGGTTTTATTTATTTATTTGAGAGACAAGAGAATGAGAGACAGAGAGCACAAGAGGGAAGAGGGTCAGAGGGAGAAGCAGAGCAGGGAGCCCGATGTGGGACTCGATCCCGGGACTCCAGGACCATGACCTGAGCCGAAGGCAGTCGCTTAACCAACTGAGCCACCCAGGCGCCCTACTTTTTACTTTTTTATTTATTTTTATTATTATTATGTTCAATTAGCCAGCATAGAGTACATCATTAGTTTTTGATGTAGTGTTCAACGATTCATTAGTTGCTTATAACACTGGGTGATGGGTATTAAGGAGAGCATGTGTGGTGATGAGCACTGGGTGTTATACGCAACTATTGATTAGCTTTTTTACAAAAACATAGGTTAGGGAGGAAAATAACAAAGCCAGGCAAATGCAAGAGAATTCTAAATTTATCAGTAACAATTATGTATTGCTACCATTTTCACTTTGCATTCAGGCTGCTTTTCAAAAGCGCTCAAGTTCAGAAGTCTCTCAAAAATATACATAAAATAATTACTGAGATCACAACATTGAGTCACAGTGTACTTATGGAAAACCTTACCATCAACTGCCACCAATACAGCAGTCCGACCTTTTCTTTCATGTTCAGTCATGGAATCATCTACATCATTGTTAATAACAAGACCATTTCTAATCATCCACTCCCGGTTACCAATGAGGACTTTGTACTGCTGGGCATTAAGAGCATCTGAAATAAAGTACAGAAAGAACATTTAGTGAGATCGCTTAATATTTATAACAACCTGTGAGGCATGTTCTTCCTGTTTAACCTTACACAATCACTATGTTGCATTTTTGGAAGACCACAGCCTACAACAGTGATTTCCAAATTTTCAAGGAACATACTTTGCTCTTCTATGCCTTTGGGCCTTTGCACATGTTGCTGTCTCCACCTGGAATGTCCTTACCCCTCCTCTCCAATTATCAAACTCCATCATATTCTTTAAGAGCCAGTTCAAATGTTTCTTTCTTGGTGAAGCTTTCCCTTTGATCTTCCACACAACTGAATTAAATCCAAAATATTTATTGTGCATCAGTAGCTAATTGTAGTAGTAGTAGTTGGATGGAAACATACAACTATACTGATGTCTCATTTATTTTTTATTTATTTTTTTATTTATTTAAGACAGAGAGAGACTGAGAGTGAGCATGAGCAGAGGAGAGGGGCAGAAGCAGGTTCCCCGCTGAGCAGGGAGCCCAACACGGGGCTCGATCCCAGGACCCTGGGATCATGACCTGAGCCAAAAGCAGCTGCTTAACTGACTGAGCCACCCAGGCGCCTCCACTGATGTCTCATTTTAAACATGTGACCACTAACTTTACGCAAGTCCTTAGAGTTGTGTGGCAATTCTACACTTCCCTAGTCCATTCATTTTCCATTCCTTCTAGAGGGCTATTTTGTACCTTCTCTTCTCCCACCCTCATCTATGGCCAGATGATGAATCTGCTTCCTACTTCAGAAAGAATTAAAAGCAATCAGAAGAGAACTTCAAGCTCTCACTGCCTGTGCCTATATACACACCAATCTAGCTTCTCTTCTAAACTGCCCCTGCTCCTATTTAAGGCCAACCTCTCCACTTACGTACTAGACCCCCTTCCTTTGCTTATTCTAGAACATCTCTCCTACAATTCTCTCCTCTTTCTCCTGCATAATCACATTTTCTATCTCTGTTGCACATAGTCTTATCTTTAAAAACAAAACAAAACAAAACAAAAAAAAACCTCTCTTGATCTCACTTACCTCTTTACTACTGCCCCAAATTTCTGCTTCTGTACACAGCAAAACTTCTTGGAAGTGTTGTCTCTATTGACTATCTCCACTTCATATCTTCCCATTCTTTTGTGAACCCACTCCAATAAAGCTTTTGTCTCTACTACTCCAAAGAGTTGTTCACACAGTATGCCAGTGACCTTTACTTTCATAAACCTAATGGCTAATTCTTGTTCCTCATCTTACTTGCCTTATTAGCAGCATTTAACACAGTTGATTGCTCCCTCCTTCCTGAAATACTTTCTTTCCTTGGCTTCTAGGACACCACATTCTTATGAGTTACCTCCTCACTTACCACTTCTTCTCAGTCTTCTTTGCTGATCTCCCTGATCTCTTAACCTATCGTATTGTAGGGCTCAATCCTTGAACCATCCCCCCCCAATCTACTCTCACTCCTTGATGATCTTATCCAATCTCATATCTTTAAATACAATCTATACCAGCTTTGTCCAACAAAATTTGGAAATGTTCTGTATTTGCTGTTTAATACAGTAGCCACTAGCAACATGTGGCTATTGAGCAGTGAAATGTGGCTAGTATGGCTGAAGGGCTGAATTTTAAATTAAATTTATTTTTTTAAGTTTACTTATGTATTTCCTTTAAGTAATCTCTACACCCAACGTGGGGCTCAAACTCATGACCCCAAGACCAAGAGTCGCATGCTCTTCCAACTGAGGCAGCCAGGTGCCCCTGAATTTTAAATTAAATTTAAATAATTGAAGTTTAAGTAGTCACATGTAATGAATGGCTATCATATTGGAAGGCCCAGGACTATAGGTAGATGACTACCAAATCTATGTCTCCAACCTAGTCTATTTCCTTGACCTGCAGACTTGTGCAGCCAACTGCCTACTTGTTATTTCCACTTATATGGCACCTGACTATCTAATAGGCACTCAAATTTAACATGTAAAAAACTGATCTCCTGATCAGTTCTCCTCAATATTGCCCTTCCAATGGTCTTCCCCATTCTACTTAAATGGTAACTTCATCCTTCTAAAATGTTTAGGCCACAAACCTTGGCATAATTCTTGACTCCTGTTTCTCCCATACTCCACACCCAATCTGTGAGAAAATTTATCAGCCAGCTCTCCCTTCAAAACACATTCAGATTCTGACCATTTCTTATGATCCCAATGCTACCACAATGGTCCAAACCATTCTTATCTTTCACCTGGATTATGGCAACAGCCTACTAACTCATCTCCCTGCTTCTGTCCTTCCCCCTATTGCTCCAACAGTGTATTTTTATCAGAGCAGCCAGGGTAAGACTTATAAAACATTAAGTTAGATTCTGTCACTCCTATACACAAAACTCTCCAATGGCTTCCCATCTCAAGGGTAAAAGCCAAAATTCTTTCAATGTCCTTACATAATCTGGTCCTGTACTACTCTCTAACCTTCCCACTCATTTACTCTGCTCCAGGCACACTGTTCTTGTTGTTCCTCAAACTAGGCTTGGGTACTTATCCCTCCTACCTGGAATGCTCTTGTCTCAGATATTCACATAGCTTTCTCCCTCCACCTTCTCAGGTTTTTGCTCCAGCATGAACTTCTCAATGAGGCCTACCCTGATCATCCTATGTAAAATAGGACCCAATACTCACAGCATTCCCTATACCCCTCTACCCTTCTTTGTTTTCCTCTATAGCACTATCTCCATCAGACATATTATATTTTCTTATCTCTTTGCTCACTGTTTTGTGTTCTCCCACCGGGAAAATAAGTTCCAAAAGATAGTGACTTTGTCTGTTCTGCTAACTGCTGATTCTTTAGTGTCTTGAACAGTGCTTAATAAAAGGTGTCAAATGAACAAAATTACTATGTGTCAGTATGCTTGGTACTGGAAGTTCACAAATAATAAATTGTAGTTTGGTAGAATCAGACAGGTAAATAAAGTATTATCATGCAGTGTACCTAGCACAAAAACACAGAGATTAAGTACAGTTATGATTTAAAAAGAAGAGCAAATCATCTCTGCCTATACATGTCAGTCAGCAAAGGCTTCACTGAAGAGATATGTGAGCTGAGTTTTGAAAAATGAAAATAAGTTCATGAGGTAGATGCCACTGGAGACAACAACATTACCCAGAGGAAACAGTGAATGAAATGATCTAATAAGCATGAAATGACACAATGTAAAAAGGAACTGTAAGTAGCTCTGTATGAATGGAACACAGAGTACATGGAGGTCAGTGGAAAAAGACAAAATGGGTGGTGTAGGCAGGCAGGAGACATATCATGGGGAATGGACCTGGAACAAAATCCAGACAGACTGGTCTTAAGTCCTACAGGAGACAGCCAGCAAGCCAGGATCCCTAACAGAATCGCACTGATAGGGTTTAGGATACAAGCAAACCTCCAAAACAAAAATTTTCTGAGGGGTGGGCATAACTTTTATCACATTCCTCCAAAGGTTCATGATTCAAAAATAAATTATAAACCACTATAATAAAAGGTACTAGTCAGACAGTTATAAATCATATTTGCAGGTTAGCAAAATCACTCAAGCACAAATGGGTAGGCAGGTGCTAGAACACTTAGGTGGGTATATTATGTTTTGGGGCAGATGGATAGACAAACCAGAAACTCAGAAAACAGGCCTTGGCTAGAGATGTGGATTTTGGAGTGGTAGTAGAAGCCTACAGATGGCAGAACAAGCAACAGACATGAAGGAGATTGTACAGAGAGTATATAAAATGAGAAAAAGACAAAGAACAAAACCCTGGGGATACCCAACATTTGAGAGCAGGAGAAAAGAGGAATCAGAGGAGGATTGGAAGCAACAGCCAGGTAGGTGAGAGGATAATCTAGAGAATGAATGGTCATGAAATTAAAAGAAAGAGCTTTAGGAAGGAAGAAATGTTCAACATTCTCAAATGCCTTAGGCATTTGAGGTCATGCAGGATGCAAACTGAGAAGAAACCACTGGAGTGAATACCGAACAAGGTCATCAATGCACTTAGGAAAAATAGTTTCAGTAGTATGGATGGGGCAGAAGCCAGGCTGTGTGGTGAATAAGTGAATTCAGCAAACCTAGACTATTCTTTCTAGAAGCTTAGATATAAAGGAAAAAAAGAGACAGGATACAATCTAAAAGGGATTACAGTGAGAGTGATGGAAGAAATGTTTGTATGTTTAGGAGAAGGAGCTAGTACAGAGAGTGGGAAAATAAAGAAGCAAGGGGATATAACAGAGTAAGGTCCCTGAAGAATCAAGAGAGGGTGAGATCTAGAGCAAAGATGACGGGATTCATTATGCAGGATGAGGAATACCTCTTCTCCTGAAAAAGGAATCATGCTTAGCAAAAAGTTGACAGACCAAATGCCTGAGAACCTTAATTTTCCATGTGAAAAATAAACCTGATAACTTGCTTAGGGAACAAGGGAGAAGGCCACGGTATCTCATGAAAGATATAAAAGGTTTAGAGTAGCTGTGGTAAGAAATAAAAGAAAGATAGCTGAACTAATATGGAAGATCAGCTAAGATTAGAATTCAGCACCCTATGGTAGAATCAAGGACCAGCACAGTTGGGAAATGTTCTTGAGTAACTCAAGTGACGTGACCAGAAGGCCTATGGTAAAATTACTTGACAGAACGAAACCATGATGCCAATTTTTGTTTCTTATCTAACAGTTCAGGATTATAAAGTTAGGCATCTGTTAATATTTGTCCCATAATTGGTACTATGAAGAAAATTAGCTTACTTGAGAGCTGGGCATCAATAATCATGGAAGATGAAGTTGATGACTGTTCATTACTTGCACCAATTTGAACCAGGGATGCATTTTTAATATTATTTTCCTCTATCTTCCAGTTATTCTTATGTAGCAAGCCTTCAATATTGATGACTTTACAGCTAATACCACAGCCTGGCACAACCTGGAAATCTACGCAGGTACCCAAGGTTTCAGTGTCCAGCTCCTAACAAATAGAAACAGAAGGATTTCTTCTGCTGTTCTAACAATCCAAGGTCATCAATAGCACAATCAAAGATTACTGCTGGTTAATTCTAAATGTTTAGACACATGCTGCATGCCCGGTTAATTCTAAGTGTTTAGAACAAAACATCAGAATTGTTTATTTTAATCGCACTCTCTAAAATTTATACCAAGTTTAGAGAAAGAAAACATTGAAGGTTTACCAATATTCTCTGCCCGTTCCAGTAGAGAATTACAAGTTAAATATTTAATTCTACTGTCAAGTCAGATTTTCTATTCAGTACAGGGCAAAGGGTAACAAAGAACAGGGCCTTTAGTTACCAGAGTGCCTCTCTAGTATGATTCTGTGTCCTTAGTAAGCCAAAGAATTTTGGTGGCCATCATTGTTTCCTGGCTCTTTATATCTTCATCCTCTCTGTTGTTTGGTTTGGGTGTAAAGAAGCCAGGTCAGTAAAATAGTAAATTGGTAAAAAGGAAAGAACACCAATGATAGGAATTGCCACATCATAACTGTAAAATTATGAGATAATTTACAAAGAACTTATACAAATCAATGAAAAAAAAAAGGTAAACAATCCTATGAAAAAAACAGGCAAAGGATACAAGCAGAAAAGTTACAGAAAAAGAAATTCAAATGGCCAATGAAAAGATGTTCAACCCAATTTATAATTATGGAAATGCAAAGCAAACCATCAATGAGTAAATATTTTTTATTTATTAAATTGGAAAAAATAAAGTAAGAATGTGGGGAAATGAGCACTAATAACTTTTGGTGAAAGCATAAACTGGTACAACCCTTCACGTGGGTATTGATAATATTTGCTATGTGGGCATTGGTAATATTCATCAGAATTTAACTGCATGTATCCTTTGATCTAGCAATTGCACTGATAGGCATTTAACATAAAGATAAACTTGCAAAAGCTGACAAGAACATTAACTGTACACTGTAAGAGACAAAAAAAAAACAATCATACAGTAGAACACAATATAGCCATTAAACATAATGAGGCAGATCTGTACGTCTTAATATGGAAAAATCATTCAATAAAATAAAAAAAAACAAGGTACCAAAGATTGGTCACTGTGTGACCTGTCTACATAAAGTCTAAAACGTAATAAATGCATATATGTTCAGATATGCATTCAAAATGGTTAACCAGTGCACACTTTTGGGACTATATTAAAAATGACTGAATTGTACAATTTACAATGAACTTTAGAGTATGTGAATTGTATCTCAGTAAAGCTGTTACAGTAGTCCTCCCTCCCCCATCCACGGTTTCACTTTCCTTGGTTTCAGTTACTCGTGGTCAACTGTGGTCTGGAAGCAGATGATCCTCTTTCTGACATAGTGTCAGAAGGTCGACTGTAGCCTAGCACCAAGTCACAATGCCTACATCATTCATCTCATCACACAGGCATTTTACCATCTCACATCATCACAAGAAGGGTGAGTACAGTACAGTAAGTAATTTTGAGAGAGAGAGAAGACCATATTCATATAACTTTTATTACAGTATATTATTATAATTATTCTATATTATTAATAGTTATTGTTAATATCTTACTAATTTATAAATTAATTTATATTGATATTTAAATTAATTAATTTTATTAATATAATTTGTATTGATATTTTAATTAATTAGTATTAATCAATAAAATATAACATACATTATAATCTCTTGACTGATTTATAAATTAAACTTTATCATAGGTATGTATGTATAGGAGAAAACATATATATATACGTATATATAAACGTATATATAGGGTTCAGTACTCTGCAGTTTCAAGCATCCACTTGGGTCTTGGAACATATCCCCTGCAGATAAGGGGAGACTACTGTATTTTAAAAGACTGCTAACAGATTAACACTTGTTAAACTCTGGAGAGAGGAATTATGAAAGGGGGCAGGGAATGAGGCTTTCCTTTTTCATTATGTAACTCTCTGTATGCATTACATTTTAATTTTTTAGTCAACAGGGGTTATCCGTATGATAAAATTACAGTTAATTTCTGCTTTCATCTTTATACTCTTCCGTATGAAGAAACTAACACATATTATAAAATAAATTGAGAAAATACAAGTCTCTCGAGCCTCCTACCAACTATATATGTAAATCACAAATGCCAGTTTGGATTTGGTCTGTGTAATTCCTGTAGAGGACCACTACATTAATAAATAAAGGAAAAATTGTACCTGCTTGCAGTACTTGGTTATGGCTGTTCCTAGAGGGTGTTCACTGTTACTTTCAGCAGTGCCCACGATGGCCAGGATCTTATTGCGTGATATTCTGTTACTTTCCACTAGAACCTTTACTTGGTTCACTACTGGGGTTCCATGGGTAATGGTTCCGGTCTTATCAAACACCACTACCTTCACCTGTAAGAAAATTAAAATACACTGCACCTATATGACTTGATAGTCCTTAATACTACCTTTCCAAAAATAAGAAAAAGGTTTACTTTGACAGATGAATATTTTGTTTCTTAATAAATTGACCTTTGACTTAATTGGAGTTGAACTGTCTTTGAGTGAGCAAAAGTAAGGGAGAATAAGGGAAAAGATACTCTAAGTTACATCTAATAGCCCTCCCTTGCAAATGTTCAACCATACTGGAATATGGACTAATGGTTAGACAACAGTATTACAGCAATGTCAATTTCTTGATTTTGATCTCTGTACTATGATTATGTAAGAGAATGTCCTTGTTCTTAGGAAAGGAGTCTGATATCTGCAGTAAAGGATATACTGGAGTTCTTTATGCTGTTCTTTCAATTCTTAAGTTTGAAATTATATCAAAATCAATAAAAAATTACTATAAACACTAACAGCTTGTATTCACTGGTTATATGAGGTTCCAAATCTGTTCTAAGCTGTGTTCTGTGTTTACTACATGCATCTGTATATAGTTTATATCCTCATAATAAGAACATATTAGAAGGAACATGGTTTTAGTTGAAGTCAAGTAGCCTTGATTGAAATTGTTTTGGAAATCCTAATATGAGAGAGATGAGGGATAAGATTATATTTTTGAAGTCATAGCTGCAAACTGTCAGCTAGTGGCAAAGGCAAAGAAACTGCAATGTTACTATAAGCACCATCTCACAGTGAAGAACAAAAACATGGGGTCGCATTTTTCCTGGGCAAATACCCCTTCTGTCTTCCTGACCTGAAGACATTTCTAATCTAAGCTGTAAGAGGACTCCAATTTTTCCACATCAGGGTCTGCTCTGAGAAAGTAGGCCTGGAGTAGTTTTAGAGATCTTAGATAACTAAGACCAATCCAGAAGAGAACCAAAATAACACCCTTCCTACCTCAACCCTCAGGATAGTCCCAGAAGAAGCTCAGCTTATGGACCATGTAGAAATAACTCTGGATTCTCTTTCTCAGTAGGGGTGCTATTGCCAGTTTGGATGGGACAATTCTTAGTTCTGGGGACTATCTTACCTTATGAGCCATCTCCAATGGCTCGCCACCTTTGATTAGTATGCCATTTTGAGCGCCTACTCCTGTACCCACCATCACAGCAGTCGGAGTGGCTAGTCCCAGTGAACAGGGGCATGCAATGCACAGAACTGTGATAGAGGCTTGGAAAGCAAAGCGTATTATCGTTTCTGTTCGGGAGATACTTCTGTTATATCCCTTTAGGAGAAAGGCATGAATTTTGGTTATTGATCTAGAGCTGTATAAAACAAAAGGAACAAAGCTTAACTCTATTTAAATAAAACCACATTTTTCAAGTCACACATAATCCTACTTAGCTGCCAACATATCCAATTTGGTTACTAGTAAGAAAACACCTTTTTTCTTCTTGTATGAATATAAGAAATTGCGACATTACTGGTAAACAAGTCATAGTCCTAAAATCAGGAATTCAATTTTGCGGATTCCAGAGTTACAAACTACGCAGTTCATCTAAAGAACATGAAAGTCAGCTTTTTACCTCTATATTGAGAATAAGTGCTTTTACTAGGGATTTTCAAAAATAGCTGCAAATATGGGACCTAATTCTCAGCAAATCTGATCCTGAAGAAAAGGAATTTTGAATCTCTGTATACTAGGTCCATAAATCTGCCTTTCACACTATACTTTAAAGACAATGGAAAAATCACCCAGCATGCAAAGGAAGCTTACTCCTATTTCAGTAAAATTCTTTTGAACATAACAGTGTGAACTGAGTATATCAGGTAGTATATAGCTCTTAGTGACACTGAATATTTGCTGTGTGAGTAAATACAACCGACAGTATTAAGGGAAATCTCCTAAGCACCCCCTGAACGCATTAGAAAAATCCCTAAGGGATACACATTCCAAAATACTTCTCAGCAATCCTCTTGTTCAATGTGTAATTAGCCAATGTGAATCATTTAAAAAAATTTTTAGAGGTGCCTGGGTAGCTCAGTCGGTTAAGCAGCTGCCTTCGGCTCAGGTCATGATCCCAGGGTCCTGGGATCGAGCCCCACATCTGGCTCTCTGTTCAGTGGGGAGCCTGCTTCTCCCTCTCCCTCTGCCTGCTGCTCCCCCTGCTTGTGCTCTCTCTCTCTGTCAAATAAATAAATAAAATCTTTAAAAAAAGTTTTTATATTATACTAATGACCATATATCATGAAGTAGATACATAGTTTTTATGATTCTACCTGTTCTATTTTTTTTTTACATTCAGAATTTTTATCTCAAAACAAAGAACCACAGTAACATTATAATAGAAAAATCCACTTGGAAATATTCACAATCTGGTCACTGAGAAATGGGATAACTTCCACACTGCATTACTGCCAACCCACTGTTTTTGAGGAACCGGAAGCACAGGTGCAATCAGGAGAAGTCACCTGTTCCAATAAAGTCCCATTCCATAGCTCTGTGAGTTTTTATCCCAAGGCTCAACGACCAGAGGGAACCGTGAGAACTGGTAACTAAAATACTGTCATAGGCAAGGGTTTGGCTAAAGGGCCTGAAATGTGTAAGCACAAAGGAGAGAAAGGGAGATCAAGCAACATATGAAAAGGGGAAAACGCAGTAACTGTCATGGGGCCCAATTTCCATTTATAAAAATACTAGGAAACTAAATGATCTGTGGAGGTGTCCGTGACCTGTGGCAAGCATAAATCCCTCCATCTTATCTAACTCTCTGAAATGTTCCAGAGTTAGAAGTCTTCGTTTTTTCATCCCCTTAAAAGAAAACCCCCCTCTCCCCCACAATTCCCCTCCAGCGCCTCCAAGAGGCCACATGTCCTGATCTCACACTCTTCTTAACTATTTCCATTGTCTGGGTCTACAGCAAGACAGAGTCCCCCACCCTCAATCTCAAGATTTAAGGAGTTCTCCCCCAACTCTCCAACAAGGAAAGGTAGCCACATGAGATGGAACACTAAAGGGTGGAAAAAAGCCATAGACACAAATTCCACAGAGGCAGTGTCATTTATACACAGAGTGATGTTTACCAGATTCTATCCAAAAGGGGGTTGTAGGAACATAGAGGAAACAAGCTACCAAAAAACTACTTCCAGGGCGCCTGAGTGGCTCAGTTGGTTAAGCCACTGCCTTCGGCTCAGGTCATGATCCTGGAGTCCCGGGATCAAGTCCCACATCGGGCTCCCTGCTCACCGGGGAGTCTGCTTCTCCCTCTGACCCTCCTCCCTCTCATGCTCTCTGTCTCTCATTCTCTCTCTCTCAAATAAATAAATAATAAAAAATCTTTAAAAAAAAAAAAAACTACTTCCAACTAGAGCAAAGTGACAGTACATATACATTCATACTCTCTCAAGCGTGGGCTACACTGCACATTTACTCACACTATCTCAAATGTATGGGCCCCTAAGGGCACTTGACCTAATACAATGGAAACATGGTAACAAGGGTAACTTGACATGGTAACAGATGAACAAGCATATGATGATGCCAAAGCAACAACATATATCAACAAGATAATAATCGTTCAGGAAAAATCCTCTCCCAGAGCTGAGGTTACAAATTCAAAGTTAGCTATGAACATTCTCCTCTGAATTCTTTTAAAGCTATGGCTTACAACAAAATAAAAATCCACATCAATAAGAGAAAGGATAAGAATCATACCATCATTTCAAAGGTTGCTGAAAAAGCATTTGACAAAGTACAATATCCATTCGTGATAAAAATACTCAACAAGTAGGGTTAGAGAGAATATACTTCGACATAATAAAGGCCATTTATGAAAAACCCACAGCTAACATCATCCTTAATAGAGAAAAACGGAGAGCTCTTCCCCTAAAATCAGGAACTGGACAAGGTTGTCCACTCTAACCATTTTTATTCAACACAGTACTAGAAGTCCTAGCCACAGCAATCAGACAACAAAAAGAAATAAAAGGCATCCAAATCGGTAAGGAAGAAGTAAAACTTTCACTATCTGCACATGACATGATACTATATATAGAAAACCTGAAAGACTCCACCAAACAACTGCTAGAACTGCTAGCACTGAAGTAGCAGAATACAAAATCAATCTACAGAAATCTGTTGCGTTTCTACACACCAATAATGAAGCAGCAGAAAGAGAAATTAAGAAAATAATCCCACTTACAATTTCACCAAAATAATAAGATCCCTAGGAATAAACCTAACCAAAGAGGTGAAAGACCTGTACTCTGAAAACTAAAACACCAATGAAAGAAATTGAAGATGACACAAAGAAATGGAAAAATATTCCATGCTCATGGATTAGAAGAACACATATTATTAAAATGTCTATACTACCCAGGACATCTGGGTGGCTCAGTTGGTTGGGTGGCTGACTCTTGATTTCAGCTCAGGTTGTGATCTCAGGGTCCTGGGCTCCATGCTCAGTGGGGAGTCTGCTTGAGGATTTTCTCCCTCTTCCTCTGCCCCTCCCCCTGCTCGTGCTCACTCTCTCCCTCTAAAATAAATAAATCTGTAAAAAAAAGTCTATACTACCCAAAGCAATCTACAAATTTAATGTAATACCTATCAAAATACCAACAGCATTTTTCACAGAACTAGAACAAACAGTCCTAAAATTTATATGGAACCACAAAAGACCCCAAATAGCCAAAGCAATCTTGAAAAAGCAAAGCAAAGCTGTAGGCATCATAATTCCAGGCTTCAAGTTATATCACAAAGCTGTAGGAATGAAAACAGTATAGTAGTGGCACAAAAATAGATACATAAACCAATAGAACAGAATAGAAAACCCAGAAATAAACCCACAATTATATGGTCAATCAATCTTCAACAAAGCAGGAAAGAATATCCAGTGGGAAAAAGACAGTCTCTTCAACAAATGGTGTTGGGAAAACTGGACAGCAACATGCAAAATGAGGAAACTGGACCACTTTCTTACACCATACAAAAAAATAAATAAATTCAAAATGGATGAAAGACCTAAATCTGAGACAGGAAACCATCAATATCCTAGAGCACAACACAGGCAGCAACCTCTTTGACCTAGATCATTGCAACTTCTTACTAGACATGTCTCCGGAGACAAGGGCAAAAATGAACTATTGGGACTTCATCAAGATAAAAAGCTTCTGCACAGCAAAGGAAACAATCAACAAAACTAAAAGGCAACCTACAGAATGGGATAAGATATTTGCAAACAACGTATCTGATAAGGGGTTAGTATCCAAAATCTATAAAGAATTTACAAACTCAACACCCCCCCCAAAAAAAAACCAACAAAAAATCCAGTCAAGAAATGGGCAGAAGACAGGAATAGACAATTCTCCAAAGAAGATATCCAGATGGCCAACAGACACATGAAAAGATGCTCAACATCACTCATCATCAGGGAAATGCAAATCAAAACCACAATGAGATACAACCTCATACCTGTCAGAATGGCTAAAATCAACAACAAAAGAAAAACACAGGTGTTGGTGAGTATGTGGAGAAAACCCCTTTTACACCATTGGTGGGAACTGGCGCAGCCACTCTGGAAAACAGTATGGAGATTCCTCAAAAAATTAAAAACAGAACTACCCTATGACCCAGCAATCGCACTACTGGGTATTTACCCAAAGAATACAAAAACACTAATTCAAATGGATACATGCACCCCTATGTTTATGGCAGCATTATTTTTAATAGCCAAGATATGGAAGCAGCCCAACTCTCTATCAATTGATGAATGATTAAGAAGATGTGGTATATATTTACAATGGAATATTACTCAGCCATCAAAAAGAATAAAATCTTGCCATTTGTAACCACATGGATGGAGCTAGACAGCTAGCATTATAGTTAAGCTAAATAAGTCAGTCAGAGAAAGACAAATACCATATGATTTCACTTATATGCAGAATTTAAGAAACAAAACAAAAGGGGAAAAAAAGCTAGAGAGAGTGGGACAAGCCAAGAAACAGACTCTTAACTATGGAGAACAAACTGATAGTTACCAGAGGGGAGGTGGATAGAGGGATGAGTTAAACAGGTGATGGGGATTAAGGAGTGGACTTGTCATGATGAGCACTGGGTGATGTATGGAATTACTGAATCATTATATTGTATACCTGAAACTAATATAACACTGTATGTTAACTAGCTGGAATTAAAATTAAAACTTTCAAAAAAATAAAAATCAACAATTAAAATCTCCTAAAAAACAAAATTGGGTTGCTCATTTGGAGGTCTCCCCCACCAGATGGGTGGTTAGGAGTAGTTAAAAAAAAAAAAAAAAGAGTCTGCTACATGGGCAAGAACTTTTTTGGTCCACTGAGGGGAGAAAGGATTTCTAGAATTAATCTTCCCTTCTCTGGACTCCATCCAAAATTAGAATCCACCAACCACCATTAACTACAATGCCTATTTTAGTAATCATCCTAGATTTCAAGTAATACTACCCATATAATCTTCAACAAAGAAAAAAGTTCCAAAGGAAACCAGTAGCTTAATATAGGCACATGACTTGCCTGAGAAGTTAAACTTGAGAGTTTCCACCTGAAGGACAGGAATTTTTAAGAGACAAATCTCACATACCACATCATGTACACTTCAATAACATATTACATTTCTTTCTAGAGTCTTCCCTTCTTATTGCACCTTGACTTCTCCACTATTAAATCTTCCACCCTATAACCTCTCTTTAAGCACATCCCTCTACCCTCAATTTCCTTATGTTCTCATTATTTGGTAAAATTGCTTTACACTTAAAGAACTAAATATTTAGGGCGCCTGGGTGGCTCAGTTGGTTAAGCGACTTGCCTTCGGCTCAGGTCATGATCCTGGAGTCCCAGGATCGAGTCCCACATCGGGCTCCCTGCTCGGCAGGGAGTCTGCTTCTCCCTCTGACCCTCCTCCCTCTCATGCTCTCTGTCTCTCATTCTCTCTGTCACAAATAAATAAAATCTTTAAAAAAAATTTAAAAAAAAGAACTAAATATTTATGTAATAATACCAGAAGATAAATAAAACTCCAATTAATTTTCTCTGCAGAGCTGTACAGAAGCAAGGAAGGTGCTCTTATTTAATCCCTCTCTGCCCTCCATACTCATGTAGATCTGCTTCCTGTTAAGTCTGGGGTGGGGGAGACTGAACCTCACTCTTACACTCCTGTATGTCCTTGTGAGGCAATATAGAACCCGAGGGAGGAAAAGCTGGCAAAGCTGTCATATGCCAAGCAACCAATTCCTTTTGAAATGAAGGAAGGTTCAGTGGGTCTCTCCTAAACAGAAGAAAATGTCCAAGCAATAAAATGCTTAAAAACCCATTGAAGATAAAACTAACTCCAGCACTGGGTTCCTCTGAGTGCTCATGAAGTGTGTGGGAAGAGAAAAGAATCAAGTAGCAGCATTCAGAAACAGTCCTGGGTTACAACCTGATGAGGTCTCTCTCTCTCTCTCTCTCTCTCTCTCTCTCTCTCTCTCTCTCATTCAGGGAGAGTTTGCTTCTTCATGTTGGTAGGGAGACAGGAAGGAAGCATGACTTAGACCTCCTTAACGGGAAGGGTGCTGTTTATCTCCACAATGGGGCCTTTGTCAGCTCTACTGGCCTCTTTCACCTGCCCTTCCAAGGCTTGTGTAATTTCCTCAAAAGTCCTGCTGTGGGTCTCAGGGACTAAAGACCAAGAAGATAACAAGGAAGCCAGTGAAGACAACACAAACGCATGCTCCTAAACAGAATGCAGCTGAGGGGGAAGAGCTGCCCAACCAAAAAAGTTGGAGGTCCAGTTGGAAAAACCAGCCCCTGCCATTGCAGCTGGGTGGGGTCCCTGGCTGAAGAGTTTGGCCACAGTACACCAGGGAATGGAGCCTGGACCAATTTCAAAAAAGGGCATGAAGACCAAGACAGCTGTAATAAAGACAAAGCCCATTCAGTTATACTTGTCCTTTAATAACAATGAAAACAGTCATGAGAATGGAACAAAAAGCCATCCCTCCAAGACCAATCAGATGTAGAGTCTTCCTCCCTGCCCTTTCCATCAAAAACAGAGAAACTACCATGAAGACAGTATTCACCACACCCACACCAATGGCTCCCCAACACCTGCATCTTTGAAGATTCCTATTCAGTAACAGAACACGGCACTGATTCCAGAGAGCTGCTGGGAGAGCTGGAGCATGGTGGAAATGACGATATGCTGTCAGTAGCTGCACACGCTGAAGAGCTCCAGCACAGTGACTTGCTTTTTTTTTTTTTTAAAGATTTTACTTATTTATTTGAGAAAGAGAGAATGAGAGATAACACGAGAGGGAAGAGGGTCAGAGGCAGAAGCAGACTCCCTACTGAGCAGGGAGCCTGATGTGGGACTCGATCCCGGGACTCCAGGATCATGACCTGAGCCGAAGGCAGTCGCTTAACCAACTGAGCCACCCAGGCGCCCATGACTTGCTTTTCTTATGCCATCCTAGCACCCTCATCTTTCATCTCCCTGATATCTTGTCTGAGTCACATCCTGGGTACCCCACAATCACTAGAAGATCTCCTTGGCACTCTCCTCTTCCCTTTTGTTAATGACCAAGAATCTAGGACTTTTAGGGCAAAATGGAAGGGCTGTACTCTGCAGGACAGCTAGAATGATGGTGAAGCCCAACAGCAGAGGCCAAAGCTCTTCAATCTCCCAGATGACTTTTGACCAAATATGTAAGCCACCAGAATCCTGACAATGCCTAGCTGGTTAGGAATGCCAAAGCCCCCCAACCTGCCACCATGGGGCAGGTAGGAGATATCTCTCCAATGCACATAGGCACAAAATCTGTGCAGTATCTGCAGAAGAAGTCAATAATCTATTGGCCCAAGATCAGCATTTCTTTTTTTTTTCAAAGATTCCATTCATTTACTTGAGTGAGAGAGAGAGAGAGAGAGAGAACGAGAGAGCATGAGCAAGAGAGCACAAGCAGGGGGAGCAGCAGAGGGAGAGGGAGAAGCAGACTCCCCACCAAGCAGGGAGACCGAGGTGGGGCTCGATCTCAGGACCCCGAGATCATGACCTGAGCCAAAGGCAGCTGCTTAACCAACTGAGCCACCCAGGGGCCCCTCAGGATCAGCATTTCAACAGACTCCACTAATTTGGAAAACCATAGGGCAGCCACCAGCAACAGTGAATAGGCTGTGCCTGCCAAAGCTGTTGACAAAAAGTCCAGTGGAAAAGGAGCCAGTCATACCACTAATGGAGAAGATGGCCACAGATAAGGACCAGAGGGAAGTGAGTAACACCTGAGTGGGGGAGTCTTCTAACCTCTCTTCCAATGAATAATTGAGAAAATCCTTTATGATTGTCTCAGGAGCATTGATGACTGGAAAGAGCCAAACTGGAAAGAGTCTATTTTATCAATGGAGATGGCAAAGATCAGAGGTACTGTGACCTTCTGTGTCCCCATGGCCCTAATTTAATTCTTTTCCAATCTTCAGTAAATATATAGAAGTGAGATCCCAGAGACACCTCTTCTAGACAACAAAATCTTCAAAATGTTCTTCTTGGCGACAAGTGTCTCTTCAGGTCCCCAGTAAGGCTTTACATCTCACCCTCACTCTCCTGATTCTACTTGTTCTTAAACTGAAGGGACAAACAACATGAAACAGTGTACAGCATGGCATTTTTAAAAATAAAGAAATACAACAAAGTAAGACTTTCTTAGTAGTAATGACTTTATGGTGCTAGGTTCTTACAAGTTCTCAAATACTTAAACTAAGCGTTCACCTAAGAGGTATTTATCTATACAGAAACAGTTGGAAGGGACTTTCATAGACATGAAAGCTTATGCTATAATATATGTCATATGTGCATGTTTTCACCTACACTAATTCCAATCTTGCAATTTAGGTATTATTATCACTACATTACAGGTGACAAAACCAAGGATAACAGAAGTGACTTAAAGGTTATATAATATGAGGCACAATCCAGGTCTACTTTACCACTTTACAACACCACACTTTAGAGACTATCATAGAACTACAGAGGAACAGGCACTAATATTACCCTATATTTATAAAGCATTTAATAAATTACAAAGTGTTTCCGATATATCATCTTATTTAACTTTCACAACAACTGCAAGTTATGCAGGATGGGTATTATTAGAATCTCACTTTACAAATGAGGAAACTGAAGCTCAGAGAGAAATTAATTTGACCTAAGATCACACTGATGGTATATGGCAGAGCTGAGATCCCAAGGTTTTTCTCAATATTACCTACAGTCCTTTGAGAAAGCAGAGTTATGTTGAGAATGAGACTGGGTATAAAATATAAAAGTTCAGTATTCACTTTGGGAAAATCATAATGAAAATAATGAAAAAGTAATAAAAATAATGAAAAAAAATCTTTCCAGGAGGAAATTTTTATATTTATAGAAATGCAAATGTTATTCTTATTACCCTCCCATTCTAGGCCCATAAAGATACTAGTGATCATTAAAGTTATTTTCCAATTAATAGTTTATGCAAAAGATTCACAAACTGTTTTATGTATGGTAAAGAGTTGTTACAAGTCACTTACAGGAAAGTAGGTCTCCACAATTTCAAAATTCAGAAATCCAATTATAATCCAAACCAAGAGGGTAGTGATGGAAACAGTAACAATAAAAGGAACAAAGTAGCCACTGAGTTTGTCTGCAAACTGCTGGATAGGAGCCTAGAATATTAATAATAACAATAATAATAATAATACTTGTATCAAAGTCTCCTTTTTTGATAATGAATACAGAGTATATTTGGTATTACACACAAATATTTTAATAATCTCCCTATTAATGCAACTGGAGTTAAAGGAAAATATAAACACTAGATCAAGATTTACACTGAGCAGTCTTTTAAAAAAATACTTTCTGTTTCTCCCAGGGAATTAAGTTACCTTTGATGTTTGTGCCTCTTCCACAAGTTTAACAATTTGAGAAAGCGTTGTGTCAGCTCCAACATGGGTTGCACGGATAAGTAGTGACCCATTCTGGTTAATGGAACCAGCGATTACTGTGCTGCCAGATTTCTTAGCCACAGGCATTGCCTCCCCTGTATAAGGAGTAAAGACAGATTTAGGGAGCATAAATACATACTATCTTGAAACGTGCTGTTATTTATTAACTGTCAAAAATATGTAGAAAGGAGATTCTTACTTCCTAGAATCTGGATAAATGCCTAGGTGAAGGTTGCCCTCCCTTTTTCCTTATGTCAGTTCTGGGCCAACCCCAGGGACACATATCTTAAACTAGAACAATCTATTAAGTCAGCTCTTATACAAAGATACTTTTTTTTTTTTAAATATGGAACGCTTCACAAATTTGCGTGTCAGACACTTTTAAAGCTGCTCCCTAGTCTTAGATCACTGGTCCTCAATATGTTCCCAAGGAGCACTTAGAAATGTGGGAGTTCTTGTTTATAATAACTACTGGTGGACAATGGGGTGCTCCTACTCCAATTTAGTGGGCCAGAGTCAGGGATATTAAATGTATTAAAATGTGCAAGCAGTCCCCCCAGAAGAATTGTCCCATCTGAACTGGCAATAGCACCCTATTGAGAAATACAGAGCCCGAAATTATTTCCTCATAGTCCATAAATTGAGCCTCTTCTGGGACTATCCTGAGGGTTCAGACAGGAAAGGTATTCTTTTGGTTCTGTTCCAGATTGGCCTTAGTTATCTAAGCTCTCTAACACTACTCGGAGGCCTAATTTCTTCGAGCAGACCCTGATGTGGAAAACCCAGAGTCATACTCCAGCTCCAACCAGACCAGTCTTTAGGGCAGGAAAACAAATAGGTATTTGCTCGGGAAAATCTGCCAAAGTCTCTTGGGTTCTACATCAGAATGAGACAACTGCCTTTGGTTAAACGTTCTAGTAATTAACAATCATCAGTGAAAAAAGCTTTCAGTAGCATAACGAAAAAACACAAAGTAAATCTACAGAAATTTATTTAATACAGTCTTAAAAAGAATTCCTATTCTCTTTACTCATCATTTACTCATTCCATAGTTTCTACAAAAAGCTCTCCACCTTTTATTCCTATTTTTTATTAACACTTTGGATTCACTTTACTTTCATGTCATGATCCTCTGAAAGACCATACCTGTGATAAGGGACTCATCTACCATAGAATGTCCTTCAATAACACGACCATCCACTGGAAATTTGCCTCCTGGAACCACTTTAATGATGTCTCCACGTTGTACGAGCTCCACATCCACTTGTTCTTCACTGGATAGGAGTTAAAATAAAAAGCATTGAGAAAATATGTTTCTCACTCTGATCTTTCCATGCAAGCTTACTGGTTTATGTCAAGCTTGTGGCTCCATAATTGCTACCAATGGAAACTAGACCTAACATTTAAAGTGGGAGCTACAATGTTAGTCCTGTTTACTGTTGGGGAACAGCTCAGTACCTGGCACAAAGGATATATTTGTTCAGTAGTGACTGAAAGAATGAAAGCTTTAGAAAATAATGTGAGGGGTTTTATTTAATTAAACAATTTATGGGACACCTGGGTGGCTCAGTCGGTTAAGTGTCTGCCTTTGGCTCAAGTCATGATCCCAGGGTCCTGGGATCGAGTCCCACATTGGGCTCCGTGCTCAGCGCGGAACCTGCTTCTCCCTCCGCCTCTGCCTGCTGCTTCCCCTGCTTGTGCTCTCTCTCTCTCTCTGACAAATAAATAAATAAAATCTTAAAAAAACAATTTATTGTGCAAATTTGCCTAATTTTATGAGTATACAAATGAGAAATACAAAAGAATGAAATTTTTTTTTAAAGAATGAAATCTTATCAAGTTTTTAGCTCTAACTTCCAGTTTACAGGTGCCAGGAGTTATAGGACAAGTTAGATGATGCCACAAGGAAGCAAAGAGTTAAATTCAGACTGTGTGATATTTTACAGGACAACTGATGGATAGTTATCTAACAAGTCACCTGTAAGGGGCAGGGCGTGGAGGGGGGGAGGGAGGGCGAACAGGATGGAAGAGCTGTTCTAGATTAAAGATTTTTTTTAAGGTTTTATTTATTTGTCAGAGAGAGGGAGAAAGAGAACACACACAAACAGGGGGAGCGGCAGGCAGAGGGAGAAGCAGGCTTCCCACTGAGCAAGGAGCCGGATGCGGAACTCGATCCCAGGACCCTGGGATCATGACCTGAGCCGAAGGCAGACGCTTAACCGACTGAGCCACCCAGGTGTCCCAGAGCTGTTCTATATTAAAAGAAACGTGTCAGTCAAATGCTTTGACACATGGCTCTTGTTTGATTTCCGTTTCAAAGAAAGAAACAAAACTTTTGGAGACGGGGCACCTGGGTGGCTCAGTCCGTTAAGCATCTAACTCTTGGTTTTGCTCAGGTCATGATCTCAGGGTGAGCTCAAGCTTGGGAATGGGCTCTGGGCTCTGTGCTCAGCGCAGGGTCTGCTTGAGATTCTGTCTCCTTCCCATTCCCTCCCCATCAGCTCTTCCCCATGTGCTCCCCCCCCAACTCATGTGTGTGCACTCACTCTCGCTCTCTTGCGCTCTCCCTCTCTCCCCCTCTCTAAAATAAATAAATAACTTTTTGGAAACAACAGGAGAAATGAGAATAGACTACATACATATTAGATGATATTAAGGTATTGTTAATTTGGTTAAATGCAATATGCTATTATAGTTACATAAGAATATGTCCTATTTTTAGAGATACTACAGGAATATTTAGCAATAAACCAACATGACTGGAATTTAAAATACTACTGCAGGGCGCCTGGGTGTCTCAGTTGGTTAAGCGACTGCCTTCGGCTCAGGTCATGATCCTGGAGTCCCCGGATGGAGTCCCACATCGGGCTCCCTGCTCAGCGGGGAGTCTGCTTCTCCCTCTGACCCTCTTCCCTCTCGTGCTAGCTCTCATTCTCTCTCTCAAATAAATAAATAAAATCTTTAAAAAAATAAATAAATAAAATACTACTGCAACAATATAAAGATAGAATGTATAGATGAAGTTTGGCAAAATGTGAATAATTGTTAAATCTGGCAGATAGATGATGTGGGTTCATTATACTCTTCTCTCTACTTCTGGGTATATTTGATATTTTTTGTAAGAAGTTAAAAAGATAAGGGGGAAGAATGAAAATAAATACCTTAAGAGTATATTATCGGAGTCAAGAGTTACAATAGTTGCTTCTGTAGCTTGTAGTGAAATTAGCTTGGCAAGAGCCTCTGATGTTTTGCCCTATAAATTAAAACAAACATGTTAACGATGCTAAGGAAGAAAAAGCTCAGGTTTTACCTAAAATAAAGATACAATACTTAACATTTGCCAAAAAGATAGCTTTAGGAATATTAATTAGTTCAAATTAGAAAATGTTTCACTTCAAAAATACGAAGTTTACAAAATATAAAATGTATTATTAGGTATAATTTATAAAAAGTAACATAAATTAACAGGAAAAACATCAGGAACTCAGGTACATGAGCAAAGGACATCATCAGGCAATTAATTTAAGAAGAAATAAAATACCTCATGCGTAGAAAAATGTTTATTCCTGCTATTAATGGAAGAAATGCAAACAAAAGCAACTCTATGACACCATTTAATGCCTACTAACTTAGCAAGAACTTATACAGGAGTTAATGCTGATGAAGTTGTAGTAAAACTACTTCACTAACATATTCTTACTGACAAAAGAATGCTAAAACTTGTTGCATGAGCCACAAAAGGATTTATGCCCTTTACTCACATACTTTGTAATTTATCCTAAGATACTAATTCAACAGAAATTACTATTAAACACGAATATGTTTAATGCAGGATTATCTAAAATTTAAAATGGGAAACAATCTAACTGAGAACAAAACCAAAATGGTTTAGTGAGTTACAGCACAATGATTTGACAGAATATTATTTAGAAAATACCAAATAATTATATCTGGACTGCAAAAATGGGGAAAAAACTTCCTAGCGTTAAGGATAAACTAGTATGGATACTATGTTTGCCACTCTGTAAAATATAAAGGTACGCAGAACAGAATTAGAAAGTAATTTCCATTATAGCAAGGGATTATGGGTGAATATTTTTTCCATCATTATTTTAAATCTTGTGGTCACATCAATTTTTCCATTAATAATGTGATATAAGTAAGTACTTAGCAAATGTCTCTCTCTTAAAATAAACATGGATATACTGTCCTATCTAAAGTATTAATTCCGTAAGTTCGGTAAATCTTCTAAAGGAATATTTAACTTAAAATGTTACCAAAATGGAAGCACTTCTTTTGTTAACTATATAAATCAATGTATATTTCCAATAACTGGTCTAGAAAATATGATCACTTATCCATCCAAGATTTTAACAAATGTCACTCTTTCTTACTTTACCTTTGCTATATGTTCCAGCCACCGGCCTAGTGCAATAAACACAAATAGCATAGGAGGTGTATCAAAGAAAGTAATAGGGTTTACTTTGGCTCTTTCATACATTGCAACCAGAAGAATAACCAAAGAGTAGGCAAATGCAATGGTGGTTGCCAGCACAATCAGTACATCCATATTTGCAGTTTTATGCTTCAGTGCTTTGTAGGCCTGAATGTAGAAGTACCAGCCTCCAAAAAACTGTAATATAGAAACAATAATTACTGCTGTTTAAAAAAATGCTGAAATTCATATATAGAGCTCAGTAACAAAGATACAGTCTCAAGGTTAATTTCCTTTTGCTTTTATCTAATCCATAAACACTAAGGATAGATTTTTTTTTCCCCAGAGCTTGAGTTCTTTTTTTTTTTTAATTTTTTAAATTTTATCATGTTATGTTAGTCACCATACAATATGAAAACAATGGATCGTGGATCACCACATCAAAAACTGATGATGTATTGTATGGTGACTAAGGATAGATTTTAAGCTGAAACAATAATGTTTATATTTTAGCAGGTATGTGTGTGTTGAGATCCAAATTGCTGTACAAGTCCTTGGCAGCTGTCCTTTATAAGCCAACGGATATTCCATAATATAAAGAAAGTCAGATGATACTTAGATTTTTCTTTTAGATGCTAGCAAAAACAAGAACTAAGAAAACAATTACATTCTTTTGACAATGGTTTTTTTACATAAAACTCAGCTCCCCTGCCTAAAATTCAACCTAAGTGGAGTATCACAAGCTATTGGAACTGCTGGCTGTCTTCATTGGTAAACATAACTGAAAAGCTTGTTTTTCACTAGTATAGAGAAACATACTAAGATGTTCTTAAAATCATCACTGCCTTTTATAAGGATCAGAAAAAGGAATAAATTTATTAGATGAAGTGTTCCATAGTAAAAGTTTATCTGAAAAGAAGAGTTGAAAACATAAAGAAAGTAATGTACTTCAGTACCAGGGATAAATAATTAAAATAATAACATAATATTATAATTATCACCATCATTTTATTTTATATAATAAGTTAATCATTAAAATATATTAATATACTTGATATAATAGTAATATAATTAATTTTAATATGTTTACTATAGAATATTAAATACAAATATAAATAAGTAAAATATCTATTTTATTATAACTTTAGACATAAAGTTATACGCAACAGCAGATATGAATGCTAAATTCATATCTAAATCTGATTTGAACTCTTTTTCTCTGCTTTGTTGTTAAACAATATCCTTAGGAGTTAAATGGAATTTATTATCTACTTTAACCACTCAGTTTAAGATTATTTTTATAAAGCATCTAGCATAAAACTTCTGGCTAATATCTGTTTTGCAACTGAAAATAGACTTGCCTGTCACATTTTGCTATTTTTCATTATTAACATATACACTTGCTACCATTTCACTTGCCTGTACAGGTACACACAATAGAAAGGATAGCAAATTCATAATGGACAATCCTGGCAGGATCTGGCGCTCCAGGAACATAGAAGAATGAATGTTGATCATTTCTTCTTGACTCATGTTCTTATTATGGTGAAGAGTTGCAAGATGGTGATCCATAACCATCATATATATCATCAGCCCCATTACAGGAATACAGAAAAAGAGGCTCACAAGGAAGGACCGTCTCCACCTTACATAGAAAAGAAAAATCATTTTGGTAAGTAGCTGATGGTTAAAAGTTCTATGTACTATAGGGAAATACAAATTGTGACCACTTCACCCAATATAAGGATGGCATTGTAAAAACTGCCATGTCAACAGGACGTTAAAGTTATAACAAAGGGGGCACTTGGGTGGCTAAATTGGTTAAATATCCAACTCTTGATTTCGGCTCAGGTCATGATCTCAGAGTCATGAGATCGAGCCCTGCATCAGGCTCTGTGCTGAGTGTGGAGCCTGCTTAAGATTCTCTCTCCCCTTTCCTCTGCCTCTCCCTCACTCTTTCTCTCTCTTAAAAAAATCTGTAACAAAGAATCAAAATCTGTTTTTCATTGACACACCAAAAGAACTTACTGTCTTATTTCTCGTTTATGGTCCAGGTGACTTGCTGATCGATCCTTCTTGACCAAAGAAGCTTCAAAACCTAAGCTCTAAGGAAATTCATGAGAAAACAATTATTTCACTGAATATAAAAATATTATATAGAGAAATTCTAAGACACAGTACTGTCATTAAGAACTTGAATTCAACTCAATTACTGAGTGCAAGTCACTCTGGTGACTGCAAAGATGAAAATATGCTCCCTTCTCTTAATTGCTTTTGTTTATAACCTTTCATCAAAGAAATGAATAGTTCCTTAACTCTAGTTAATGTCTACCCTACTGTTCTCAAACTAATGAGTGAGCTGTCCTCAGTTAGTCCACTAGTCCTTAGTTGTCCACTAACAAGTGCAGCTGTCCTCACTAAGATTCTTATAACAAAAAGTAAGTTAAAGCCTCTAATACGTAATTTTAGAAAAAAGCAGAATCAGTGTTTGATGACCTAATAAAGACAGAATTCAATAGTAAAATCACAAATCTTACATTTAGACAAGCATCATCCACTAGTATTGATGTACATTAACCACTTTTTTAAAATTTTAGCTTTGACATCTATCCATCCATCCCCCAAACAAGTACAGGAAATTGAATAATAGGCCACAAAAGTTAGCACCATAGTATCAAGTCTTTGCAGATGCAGTTTCTACTCTTCTTCTATCAGAAAAATAACATGAAAATTTTCCCTAATAAAACAAAGTATTAAAGAAAACTACACATAAGTAAGACTCATGCACATAGACGGTAACATACACTGTATTTTCAACTGCTAGGGAAAATACTGCCATCTTACATTTGTTGGCAGTGTAGCACAGCACAGTGAAAAAAGCAAGCATGAGCTTTAGAGTCAAAAAGAATAGGCTCAGGGCGCCTGGGTGGCTCAGTCAGTTAAGCATCTGCCTTTAGCTCAGGTCATGATAGTGAAGTCCCAGGATCGAGCCCCGTGTCAGACTCCCAGGTCTGCTTCTCCCTCTCCCTGCTCCTGCTTGCATGAGCTCTCTCTCTCTCCCTCAAATAAATAAATAAAATATTTTTTTTTAAAAAGAAAGAATAGGCTCAAATCCCAGCTATGACACTTACTAGCTATATGATTTTGGGCAAGTAACTTAACTTCTCTTAACCTGGGTTTCGTCACATCCAAAATGAAGATGACAGCACTGTTGTGAGAATTAAATTAAAAGTTGAAGCTTTGCAATTTTGGTAACTGGCTCATAGTAAATACTCAATAATGCTAGCTTCACAAAGATGTTAATGGTATTATTATCTACACTAATAGGATCTTATCTGAACTATTAATATGCTCCAATCATTATAACAATAAGGCTATACCACATTAAAACTTTTAAAGCATTTTCACATGTACTATCACTTGATTTACTGAAGAACACGAGATAAGTTTGTGACAAATAAAAGGGTTTGGTCTTTTTAAATTTCATACTTAAAAATACATCATTTGTAAGCAGAATCAGAGAACAATCTGATGATTGCCAGAGGGGAGGCAGATGGGAGATGGGTAAAATGGGTGAAGGGGAGTGGAAGATACAGGCTTCCAGTTAAGGAATGACTAAGTCATTGGAAAAAAAAGGTATAGCATAGTAAACATAAGTCAATGGTATTGTAATAGTGTTGTATGGGGACAGATGCTAGCTACTCTTGTGGTGAGCATAGCATAACTACTGAGTTGTTGAATCACTATGTTGTATACCTGAAACTAACATAACATCGTTGTGTCAACTATACACAAATTTTTAAAAATTACATTGCTTGCTTTGATCTAGGTATAATAAAGCATCTAGCATGATGCTTGCTTTAATGATTAATCTTATAACAAATTGTACTTTACTGCCATTTTCTAAATATTTTTAAAGGATTTGTGGTTCTACCTTCAGTCTACTCCTGATTAATGGTGCCAATATGCCTTTGCCTAACTCTTCCTGACAAAGACCAAGAAAAAAAAAGGTTGTAAACACATTTATGCTAAATTTGAGACATGTTAATTGAGAGTAATGAAAGGGACCAGATCTTTTTCATTGTCTCTGCTACAAAATTGAAGTGATTCAATGGACTGCTGACTGAATAGGTAAGAACACAGAAATGCAAAATCTTACCACTTACTTCAACCGTATGGATAATATCCCTGGGACCAATAATTTCTGGGTCATATTTAATATGTGCTTTGTTGGTTGCCAGGGCCACAGAGCAGTAGAAGATCCCTCTGTGTTTTGTGAGGATAGACTCTATTTTATGTACACAGGAGGCACACGTCATTCCTCTCACCTGTTAGAGACAAAGGTTTTGTTATTAAGAAATCTACTTTTTCCTCCGTTAAACATGAATTGTAATATGGGATGAACATACAAAATCTTATCTGCACTATTAATATCCTTCAGATATGTTCATTAGAATGCTGTTTTTATATAAAATTACATTGAACAAAGATATGGTCCCAGCTGCAAAAGGTTAAATAGAAGAAGATCTCACTAAGTCAGTCTCCGTCTTCCTGTCACTGCTCAGTGATAGAAGATTTGACATCTATCATTTCTTGAACTCAATGTCTTGTTTCCCTCTAGATTTTTTAGTCTTCAATATTACTTTTACAGAAGGGTAATGGATGACAAAAGTGTTATACCTTTGTCTTAAAATGCATTTTGCCTTATGTCTTGGGTGAGGTTATAGTTCAGCTTGGTATTAAATTCTAAAATGGAGTAGCAGAACTTCTGGAATGACTGTGTGTGGAGCTCAGCAAAGACTTTCCCCCAAAAGCAATGATAAGATTGAACAAAAGTTTCAAAAAACAACTCTTTAAAGACTCTGGGAAGTGACTAAAGAGTATATAACAAATTACAAAGCTTTTATTCAAAAATATCTACTGAAAGAATATCAGTAATGGTGTAGTAAAGGCCTTTGAAAATTATCTCCTCCATAAAAGCAATGAGAAAACTGGCAAAACTGTCAAAACCAACTTTTTTTGAAATTTGGAAATTAAATAAAAGCTTTCAGCAATCCAGGAAACATTATTCAAAAAAATCAGATAGAGGCACCTGGGTGGTTCAGTCGGTTAAGTGGCTGATTCTTGATTTCGGCTCAGGTCATGATCTCGGGGTCCTGGGATGGAGTCCCACATCGGGCTCCGTGCTCAGCAGGCAGTCTACTTGAGGATTCTCTCTCTCCCTCTCCCTGTGCCCCTCCCCCCCCCACACTCTCTCTCTAAAATAAATAAATCTCTAAAACAAAGAATTAAAGGAAAATATGAGAACGCTATCTCATCAAATAAATAATATCAATAAAGAGAAAGATTATTAAAAAGGCCCAATGGACAGTCTGGAATTGAAAAGTACAGTAACTGAAATGAAAGCAGTACTCAGAGGGAAATGTGTAGCTATAAATGTCAATATTAAAAAATAAGAAAGATCGCAAATAACCTAACGTTCCATGTTAAGATACTAGAAAAGAAGAGCAAACTAAATGTAAAGCAAGCAAAAGGAAGGAAATTAAAGATTAGAGTGGAAATTAATAAAAGAGAGAATAGAGAAAATCAACAAAACCAAAAATTGTGTTTCTGAAAAAACTGACAAAATTGACAAACTTTTGGCTAGACTGACCAAGGGAAAAAAGAAAGAAGACTCAAATACTTAATATCAAGAATAAGGAGTGACTATTAACAGGCAAGACATTTCTTCTTTGGGTTAATGAAAAGCTCTTAAAATTAGATATGGTGATAGTTGCACAACTATACAAAAACCACTGAATTGTACATCTTAAAAGGGCAAGTTTTGTGGTATGTGAATTATATTTCAATAAAGCTATTAAGTCTTATTTTTTATTTATTTTTTAAAAGATTTTATTTATTTGACCGAGAGAGAAAGAGAGCACAAGTACAAGCAGGGGGAGTGGGAGAGGGAGAAGCAGGCTCCCTGCTGAGCAGGGAGCCCGACACGACACGGGGCTCGATTCCAGGACCCTGGGATCATGACCTGAGCCAAAGGCAGATTTCTTAAGTGACTGAGCCACCCAGGTGCCCCCTAAGTTTCAGAAGTCTTTAAAAACTAGGGGCGTCTGGGGCGCCTGGGTGGCTCAGTTGGTTAAGCGACTGCCTTCAGCTCAGGTCATGATCCTGGAGTCCCGGG